AGAGTGATCTTCGACTAGTAACAGCTTTGGAGGCAGAAGTTGTTGGGAGTTTCAGCTAATCATACCAGTACCACAGCCACACTTCGAGTGGGATTTTTAAAAATAAATTAGGGAAAATGGGGACCTCAGACCTCCCAGCTCTTCATACTCATACTGATTTTTATAATATGTTCCTTGTGAACTATTATTATACTGATTTCCTTGGGCTGTACTGTGTTTAAGCACTCAGCCTTAAAATAACTCAGTGATGCACAGCTAATGAAACAGAGGAATGACTGGAGAGATGGCATTTTAGGTGAATCACAGCTCATTCCTCAAATTATTTATAGACTGCTCTCTCTTTATGACAGGGTGTCAGCTACCCGGCAACAGGCCAGAGTGTTTATGAATCATCTCATAGACGTAGTAAGGCTTCAAGATCAGGGCAAAAGAGATTAAGGAAGGCTCACTTTGTATCTTTTCATAAGCAATAAGCCATCTCCATTCCAATGAAAAATCTCTCTGGTCCCAGCTGGTGCATGGTTACCAATAAACCAGCTCATGTACAGAAAGGAAAGTTAATAACTAACACAGCTTTTCTTTGTTGTCAAGTGGAGCTAAGTAAAGGTTTGAATTTTTTAATCAGGCTTTTCTGTCTCACCTCCAATCTCTTTATGTGACACCTCAGTGCCATTTTGCAATTCATCATTTCAGAGTCAAAATCAGGAGTAGTGAGAATACTATAATGAGTCAGGTTGTCCTGGATGAGGATGCTCAGCTGCCTAGGAAGGTATAAATGAGAGAGCCAGATGCTGCAGAAACAACAGACTAAAAGCACAATATTGCCTCCGTCCCTGCTGTTTGGTAGCATGACATCTATTCCTGAGCCAAAGCAATAATGGGTCACTGCAATACGCTGTGCAAGCCCAGGCTGAAATGAGCACACCCATGGCTGTCAATATAGTTGGATCTGGTACCATAGAAACATGGCATGTCCTCGTGTGGACACTTGTGACTGCAGGAAATAAAGGTGCCTTTCAGTCCTCTGGGGAGATGTGTAGGTGCCAGGTGGATGCTGTGCTGTGTGAACAACAGCTGCATGGTTTAATGGCTGCTGAAGTGGGCAGAAACAATTGCATCAATTAAGTTTTATTAGCCATAATTTAGTGACAGTGGTAAAATTGACATTTACATATAATCATGGCCTTTTTAAGTCACAAAAATCAGAAACCATATTAAGTGTTAAATTAACTTCCATTTCCGTTAGTGTACCTTTCTAGAAGCATGGATTATTTTAAATTATGCAGCTGCATGCTACATTCACACAATAAAGTAATCTTCAAATAAAAAAATAAAGCAAATTATGTTAATACAAGATAAGTATTTACAGACAAGGAAGTTCACTGCTGCTCAAAGAACCACCCTGGGTCCTATGGCCATTGAAGTCATAGCTCCCCATCCTGGAGTTTTATGGGCCTGGTACTGATTCTTGGCAAGAGGGAACTTCTTGGAGTTTGCAGCAGCAAGAGTTGTGTTTTCTTATTAAATAGCTATGAACTGGTCCAGTGGTGAATTCCATAGAAACCAACTGTAATACCAGAGGCAGCATCAGAACCCAGAACTTTTGCCTTCTGGCCCTTGTTTCCAGCTGCCTGTTTTTTGAAATTAGAGTACCAAATTGAAACCTATCTCTGCTATCTCCTGGCTACCTAGTTGTGATGGCAGTGTGAAGAACTAGATTTTGTTTCCACTTTTTGCTTTCATTGACATTGATCTCTAGCTACCTCTGGGGCACAGGAATGTGTCACAAGCTTCCCTGAGCTTTACCTCGGACATTCCATGAGCAGCAGGGTGGCTTTGAATCTCTTTCCCCCACCAGGAATGGATACAAAAGGACAAATAGGGAGGATGGAGCACAAAACAAGACTGAACACCCATTTCAAAGCTCCATCTAGTCTTTGTACCAGCAAGAGCTTTTCCCCCACATCTTTTCAGGCCAAAGAACGGCACCACGTTAATGCAGCTTCAGTGCTTCCAGGCCCAGGGAAATCATGGGGACACAGCAGGTTAATCAGCATAACAACCCAGCACCAGCCCAGTCAGAAACTGTCCTCACATCCCACCATGTGACAGCAATCTGCCATGAGATGTCTTCAGCCTCTTACTCATTTCCCACATCTATTACACCTGTAGGAAGGCAGGATTTTCAGAGGAGCCAGGCAGTTTAGAGTGAGGTATGCTGAGCAATGGCTTTCCTTTGGCAATAGGAGCAATATTTATCTAAAGGAATGGTTTGGTCACTGTGCTGATTTGCTTGCTGTGGGTTGGTGTTAGACAAACCCTGTTTCTATTCTTTTCCATGTAACTCAGGAAATACTGCTTCAAATGGTGGTTTCAGAGTAAAACAAATCACTCATTTATTTGTTAAAATGCTTTGGGGATTTTTCTGTTTCCTTTCCAGTGTGCTCTCTCTGCTCCAGTGCCCAGCAGCATCATTACCACAGAGAACTTTGCTCAAGCAGTTGCCTACACCAGAATTTTCAGTCTGCGTGTTCAGGTCAGGAGCATCCATCAGCTTGACAGGAGCAGCACCATGAGATCCTCTACCCAAATGACCTCCAGTAAAGTCAGGCTCAGAAAAAAAATCTCTCCAACAGAACTCAGTTCCTTCATATACAGTAAAATTCAGGAACCCACTGGAAAAGAAGAGGATTCATTCAGGTAAATTATTTCCTCACATTCATAATTTATTTGCTATGAGGCAAAGGGTCAGTCACCCCTGGACAAAAGGCTGGCAAAGGCTCAAGTATCAGCTTGTTCCTACTGAAACCCTACTTCGGGATTGTACCAAAGATCTGACACTTTTGTTCTGGCTCTCTGCAGGAGAACTTCTCACATGCAGGGATATAAAAATGTGGAAAGTCAGGCAAATGGAAAGCTTTTCTCTCTCTTCAGAGAAAAAAACCCTGATTTAAGATTTGTTGGTAGTACAAAAGAACTTATTAGTGCTGCTCACTCCATAGCATTGAAATTCACATGTAATAGCATTCTATAGGGTTAGAAAACATAGACAGATGTTTCTCTACTTCTGTTTTACAGCTGCTTTGAGAGACGTGGCATCTGCAGCTGTGTTGGGTGTAGTCCTCTGGCTGCACTGCCTTACTCCCAGCTTGCTGTGCATCCTCCACATCCTCCACCTGTACCAAAGGTTCCCATCACATACTCAGGTTAAGTTCAGGCATTTTCTACACTACCACACATATCAACAAAATCTCCAGTGATAGGAATATTTTCTTCAATGCTCTCTTGTATAGTGGGGCAAGGGGAGAATAATAGGAAAGAAATGCATTGAGAAAAAAATGAGCTGTTTGTAGGACAGGATTTTTCTTCAGCTTTCACTGAAAAGCAGAAAAGTGCTACAGAAACAGTGGTCTTGTCTGACCAGTCTTCATAAATCTACAATAATTTTATGGACTACAGCAAGCTCCCCAAACAAATACCTGTATTTATTCCATGAGCGTTGTTTGGTTTGGGTTTTTTGGGTTTTACTGAATTTTTGTCGTGGTTTTCTTCTGCTGTGATTGTTGTGTGGGTTTGTGGTGTTTTTTTTTAGTTTGGTTGGCTTTTTGGCTTTTTAATCCAGTGAATTAATGCCTACAATCAATGCTTTTATATTGCCTATTCTGGAAGTCTGCCACAGTTACTTTAAAGTAACTACCCAGAAATACAGTTTGTTTATTTAGGAGTGCTTTGGGAAATCCTTACTGCTCCTGATGGAGTGTCTCAAATATTGCAATTCTAAGGCACAACAGGCTATTAGAATGTATTTTTATCCTCTAAAAATAGAGGAATATCCTGTTTTCTGTATTAAAATAAGCCACTGGAAAAAAAATCCTCTACTTTGGTTATTTTTACTTAAGTCCTTCCTCAATGTCAGTGGCCCCATTCTGAAAGCAAGAATAACCAAGTCAGTCTATTTTGAATATTAGGTGCCAAACTACTGTAGAACTGAAGACAAAGGTAACAGAAAACAGTACTGGTGAATTTCCTTCATGTCCATTGACTTCCTATCATTAAATATTCATATCATTAATAGCACTAGTGAAAGTTAAGTCCTGTGCAGTGCTAGAGCACCTTCTCTCAGAGAGTTTTAAAGCATCCTCAAAGTAATGCTGGTGTTACCCTCAGCCCATCCCAGTCTGGCAGACACAGAGAGGCAGGAGCTGGCATTGAAGGCTGGGGTTCCCAAAGACCCACTCCAACTACTAAGTGATACTGCCTCCCCACATGTAAACTCCTTTTATTGATAGACAAATACCCTTAAAATGTATTAGTAAACACATCAGTCTCTTCATCACACCTTAGGAAGATCCCCTGCCCTTGCTGAATCTCTTGTAACTAAGTAGCCTCCAGGCATTAGAAGTAAATCCTGGTTTTATTTTGAGGCATCATCAAAGAATGTGACAGCACCATGGAACTGCAGGTAGGGTAGCCTTGTGCAGCACTTAAGGCAACCATGGGTGCTTGTTAAATCCAAGGCTATCTGTGTAGTCAAGAGAGGCATAAATCACTTAGAAACTGCTGATCCTCAGCCTCCAGCCTATGCCTCCTTTGTTATCTTTGGGTATCTGTGGGACAGGTGCTATTTCCAAAGTGAGAGAGGTGTATTCCCACAGTGCTTTCCTGTTTGGTGCATGTGAAAGTGATCATCAAAGGTGAAAGCCCTCCAGCCTGGAAACCACCAGTAACAAGGAAGAGCTGATGACAAAACCCCAGGAAACAAGTAAAAGCAAGTATCTCAACACAGGCACAAGAGAAAAGAATCCAGTTTGAACATCTGGGGCAGAAAATTGTCCAAGTGCAATCTGGAGTCACATCTGAGAGGGAATGAGGAATGGGTTAGTGACAGAGCAGCATTTAAAGAAGCCCAAAAGGGGTCTTTTTTTCTGCCTGGACCTGTCTGATGCACAAGGTGAAGTGTGACTCCTATGTCCTCTGTGGCTGACCCTTGATCAGGCGCATCATTCAGCCTGCTTGGGCACCCAGGTGAATCTCCAGCCCCCATCGTCGTCCCTGCGCACAAAGGCCTGTCCTTGGTGGAAGCTGTGCGTTCTCACGTTGCGGTGGGGACTCAGGGACGTTGTGAAGGCCACTTCTGTTTTGTTGGGTGACAAACCACCAGTCAAATAAGGCAACCCATAGGCTGGGATGGAGGAAACACTTGGCACAGGTGAGGAGATGCATGGTGCTGAAGAAAACTGAGGAAGGAAGGGAGAATCCTCGCTGCAGGGATGGGTGCTGCTGCTGGCTGGAGGCACATGGCTGCAGCTAAACACTGCTGCTGCTCCTTCCCTGTGCTCATAGTCTACTGCTCCCCCAGGGCTCAGGCAGTATGTGTCTTTTCCAAGGTCTGGGGACAGGGCACTGTAGTTAGCTGAAGCTTCATCAATTGTGTTCACATCTTTTAATCCCAAAGTCTGCAAGACCCAGCTGTCCACAGCAGGGCTGGCTTGCTCTTCACAGGCAGTGAATTCATTGAAGAGGTTCCTTCTAGCTTTGGAGGCATGAGGAATTTCTTGAGGAACAAAGCAGTGGTCCTCTTTTAATCTCCTCTTGGTACTTTTGAGGATAGGACAGGTTTTTTGCCCATGGCCAGACAGTAGTTTCTATTAAAAAAACCAAAACAACAAGGTGGAGATGGAAGATTAAAATTTGAATTTCTAGATACCTGAAGGCAACATGTTTCTGACCTCAGATGCACAAGACGGTTCCTACTTGATTACTACTGTCCTTACAGAGATTTTTTCCCCCTCTGCTTAAACATATGGGCATGACCAACTCTTTTGTATCTTCACAGTGTCTGCAAGAACCCTGTTCCTGAAAGAGAAGAGTGTGGCCATGTCAATAAGACCTGTGCATTGATGCATTCCCAGCCCTGAGCTGCCACCTGCCTCTGTGCCAGCAGTGCTCTGCAGGTGAGCAGGGCATGGGGGGCAAAGTAGCAGCCTGACAAAGAGAGAGGATTCAAAGGTAACTCGTGCTGGAACAGGGTGATCCTGACAAGGCAGTGCTCAGAGCAGCAGCTGAGTGGCACCGCACTCATCAATTCACCTCAGTTGTCATTATCCCAGGACAAGGGCCCTTCAGGCATCCAGCTATGGTCAAATGAAGGCAAGAATAAACAAGGAAGCTCCCCACCATGTCATGAATTCACTGCTCCACACTGGACCCTTCTCCACATGACACAGGGCGGCCACATGTCCCTGCTGTGCCCAGTGAAGGAGACCTTTTCTACTGACAGGATATCATTCCTGGAGCAAACCGTCACCTTTGTGAATTTAAATGTGAGTGTGAGTTCCACTGCAGGTTGTCTACACTCTTAGATTTTCCATATATTTTACTGGCATGTACCTAATCAACCTGTTCCTTCTGCACACATTTCTATGACAGGTCTGAACACAATACCTTGGCTTTTTCTTCCAAACACTTAATCAGGGCAGAATTCAGGTATTGTCGGAGGTTATTATTTTCTTCATGTAACCTAGCAAGTTCCTCTTCCTTCTGAAGCAAAGTATCTTGAAGCTGTGGAATAGAGATATTGATGAATAGATGTTGACTCTGTAACCTAATAGCAATTGCCCTCTGGTACAAGCTGCTTGGATTTGATGATCTGGGTGTTTGCTTTGTGAGCTCAACCCACCCCCTCCAGCCTCTTGTTTCTATAACTCTAAGTGGCATGACTGTTCAGTTCTCACTTTTGACTTCCTTTAATCTTTAAGTGAGTGTTTGAAAAGATTATTCTGAAAAAAACTGCAACCACAGAATAATAATAGAAATGAATTACAAGTAGCCCTGTGAGCAGCCAGAAATGGTCACGGGCATGACAGCAGCTTCAGGATCTCCTCTTGAGCCACAGCAAACATCCCTTTGCACCCCTCCTTCCCATTTATAGCTGGCTAGTGAAAAAAAAAGAAGGAGGAGTTGCAAACTAACAATTTATGGGGGTGGAGTGCAGAAGCGAGATGCAGTTGCTATTCTTTATGATAAAGTAGCACTCAGTGATCTCTTCAGTTCTGGACCCTACTGTGCCAGCACTGATACATATACAGAGTTGAGATGATCCCTGGTCTCAAAAGCTGAACAGGAACGGCAGACACCTAACACTTTTCTGTGGGAAATCTAAGTGTTTACAGATAGATATTTGGCCCTCATCATAGCTCTGGAGACTTCTTTAGGAGGACAAAGAATCTTCTGCCTTGGACCACAGGCATCTGCTGAGCATAGGTTTAGTGAAAAACAGATTAAATGATTGAGGCCGAGCCAAAGAAAGAAGTACACTGACATCTGGAACTATGGTTTGATCCAGGGACCTTTAAGATAATATCTGAATTTTCACTGACTTGACTGTGTCAAAACATCATTCCAAGTATTTGATCAGAGTCATCAAACTGGAGCTCCTTCATCGAAGACAGTTCAGTTTCTCCTGTCTCTTGTCGGGATTTACAAAAAAATGACATATAAGAGAAAATAAAGTAACAAGGAAAACCTGTTGGTCAAAATGGTTGATCTTCCATGTAATTAGACAGTTCTGGTGGACTCATTTCCCATGAAGTTAAACCTGGTGGAATCAGGAGGACACACGCTACGTATTTCTAGCCAACAGCATCACCAGAGCCTGAGGTCCCCCTGCTCATGCCCCTGGTTTTCTTTAGTGCCAAGGCTGCTGCTGCAATATGATGTAAGAGGGGAGGAATGGATACGGAATCCCACCACAGTTGGTCCAACCTCACAGGACAACATGGGGGAGACAAATACATCAAGCACGGAACAACAGTTTTGTGTCAGTTCTGACGTCTGTGCCAGTGACAGGGAGACCTGCCATAAGCCAACCCAGAAGATGCAATACGTGACACAAAGTTCGGGAGCCTCGTGGGGTGAACCCGGGGCTGCTGGGGGACGCGGAGCCTTTACCTGCTTGTTTCTGTAGAGCTGGGAGGACAGCTGGTCTCCCTGCCACGCCGCGTCCTGGGCACCGAGCTGCGGGCTGCAGAACTGTCCTGCGGACGAGAGCGAGGGTTATCCCGGCCCCGCACGGCTCGCAGCGCGGCTGGGGACGCGGCAGCGGAGCGCTCACTCACCCTGCGGCCGAGCCTCCCGCCCGCCCTGGCTGTGCGGCGGCTCCGCGGCGCAGACGGCGGCCCAGGTCTCCTTGGAAACCCCGGCGGGGGCGGACCAGGGGCAGGCGCAGCCCGAGCCCCCGGCGAAGTCCGGCTCCGGGCACGGCCGGCCGGCGCTCTGCGGAGGGAAGGGGCCGAGGCGATGGGGCGCTCGGCGGGGCAGCGCTGTCCCCGCTGCTGTCCCGGCCGGGCTGTGCTCAGGTGCTGCCGCGGGGCAGCCCCACCGCCCAGCCGGGCACCCCCGAGGCAGCGCCCAGCCCTGAGCCGGTGGCCGCTCCCCGCCTGCCCGGTGGCACCGCTCCGTGCCGCCCCGGCAGCCCCCGCAGCGCTGGGGCTCCGAGCACAGCTGTGCCACGGAGGCGGCTCCGTTTCCTGCAAAGCCTTGGGGAATGCTACGGTCCTGAGCGGGTTTAGGGTGAAGGGGGGTCCAGTGCTGTCCTTGGCCACACCGTTGCTGCCACCACGGGTGTTCGACTCAGCTGCACAGCAGCAGCACAGAGCCAGCAGAGTCACTTCCTGGCTGCTCGCACTTTCTCCTGCCCCTGCAGTTCTGCAGGAGTCCCAGACCGCAGAGCCTGGGGTTGTCTCTGGATTCACCCCTTCTCCCTCCTCTAAATAAGCCTCATCTGCAGCAGCTCTAAATCTCTGCAAGGAAGGCAACGGCAAAACTTGGAATCTCAGTCAGGGAGTCTGCCTGCCCATGGGAAGGCACAGCAGCAGAGACTGCACTGGCAGGTAGAGAAGAGCCCTCTTTCTTTCCCATCTTAAGAGGGCACAAAATCTATTGCACTCCCCCAAGGGAGAGACCAGCTTCTCCTCCTCTGCCTCGAGGTCGAGAGAAATGCAAAGAGCACTTACCATATTAGTGGCAGAATGAAATGCAGGTCTTGGGAGCACGTTTCTGTTAAAGCCCCAGAGAGGTTTAAATGGCTCTGAAGGAGGGGGAGAGGGGGGAGACCGGGGAGGCGAGTTTAATCTAAAGGAGCTCCCAGTGACGCCTCAGAGCTCTCCTGAAACCCAGCAATCTGATTTGGTGTAAAGCTGTCAAACTTGTGACGTGAATAAACAGCAAACTTGCTGAAATCAAAGTCATTCTGGTCCCACAAATCAACACAAGGAAGGAGGGAAAAGAAAAGGAGGGAGAAGGAAAAAAAAGCTTCCACACACTTCAGGGCAGCAGTGAACTGGTGCGTCTGAGTTTCACTCCAGGAAATGAACAGGCATGCAGGGAAGCATCCCACATGTTCAGAATAAGGCTGCTGGTGTTGCTGGTGAGTTTGTTTTGTTTTGTTTTGTTTTGAAGACTTGTTTGCAGTTGTAAAATCCAGCAGGAAGAAACAACTCTGTCCAACTGCCTGGCTGACAGAGTGGGTTTTGCCCAGCTTCTGAGAGGTGTGTAGAAGCAAATATGATTCAGAACACTTGTGTGGACAGTTCTAAGAAGGAAAGTGCAGGTCTCAGAACAACAGAGTCTGCAAGGACAAGCTCCTGCAAATGTCTCACTATATTGAGAATGTTTTCCATCAAGCCCCAGACTTCCAGAAGATCTTAGGATATAAATGTGGCAGTGGTAAAATCCTTTTTATCATAAAGGATTTACTACCATGATGTTGCAAAAGCCATGGTCAGGTGTGTGAAAGGCAGAGATTGTCTCCATATAGTCACTTCTGATTCATATCAGATTTATGTAGCAATCAAAATCCATGGATAAACTTGAGTTTCTCCCATAGAGGAACAAAACCAAAACAAAATAAAAAAAAACCAAACCAAAAACCAACAACAACACAATAAAAAGTATATATATATATATGTATATATATATATGTGCGTGTGTATCTTCACTGAGGGTCTGCCTTTGAATAGCATAGGGGTCCATAGAGGAACAAAACCAAAACAAAATTAAAAAAACCAAAACAAAAACCAACAACAACAACAAAACAACAAAAAGTGTATATATATATGTATATATATATATGTGTGTGTGTATCTTCACTGAGGGTCTGCCTTTGAATAGCATAGGGGATGGTGGGAATAAAGCCAATAGCAGAGCAGTTGTTCTGCCAGGATCCTGTCTCTGCCATGGCAAGGGCTGTTCCAGGTGCTATCCCAACCTGTCTGCAGCCAGCCAGGACGAGACTTGGCCAAGGGCAGGCCATGCTGGCATATGGGATGGTCTTTCATTTCCCCCCTGCAGGATGCTCAGTGCTGTTCCCCCTTCAGCAAGCCTCAGGGACAATACCTGTGGGACAAACCAAGAGGGCCATTTGCCTTCCATTCTTTTATCACTGCATATTTTCCTAGGTTGGTGCCCAAGGTAAACTGGAAATTAAACCCCCGCCATCTCCTGCCTTATGTGATTTTTTTTTTCTTTTTTTTTTCAACAGAAGCATTTAAAAAGGCCTCACACTCTCTCACTCAGCCTAGAGTGTTTGGGGTCACGCTTTAGGTTTCTCTACCCGCAGCCCAGCACATTTCATAACTGCTGTGATAACCCACTCCCTTCAGACGCCAACCCCTCTGCACGGCTGGCTCTCTGCTGGCTGCCGAGGAACTGCGGCTGTGTGACACTCGCCCGAACCGCGCTCGGCCCTGGCCCCGCTGCCCCGTGCTGAGGCACCGCTGAGGCGCCGCAGGGCGCTGCGGCACCGCCGGCTCCTTCACACCGGGCACACCCCGGGCAAGCACCCTGCTCTGGGGCTCCGCGGGCGGCAGCGCGCTGGGTCATGGCGGGTAAAGCCGGGAGAGGAGACGTGCCGGGCGGGCAGGCTGGAGGAGCCCGCAGCAGCCCCGTGCGAAAGGCGAACACCCCGTGGATCCCGCCGGGCCCCGCAGCGCCGGCCCGGCACAGCCCGAACCGCGGCCATGTTGGGGCTGCCCAAGAGGGCGTCATCAGCGCGCGCCGATGGCGGCGGGGCGAGCCGCGCTCTGTGGTGAGGGGCCCGGACTGCCCCGCTCCCGGTGCCGGGACTGCCCCGCTCCCGGTGCCCCGTTCCCGGTGCCCGGCTCCAGGCAGCTCGGGAGGTGCCCGGCTGGTCCCGGACGGGGTGAGGCGGGCGCAGAGGAGCCTGCAGCGGGTGAAGAGCAGGGATGCCCTGCGCAGGGAGCGCTCCCCGTGTGGCCCCGGGCCGCCGCGCGGCTCGTGTGTCGGGGCAGCCGCAGGGAGAGGAGAGCGGGGTGGATGAACAGCACATCCAGGGGGGAACTGGGGCTTGGAGCAGCTCTGGTGTGAGGAGAGACTGAGGGAACGCGGCCTCTCCTTAGGGGATCTTATTAATGCATATAAATATCTCAAAGGTGGAGGTCAAGAGGCAGGTGCCAGACTCTTTACAGTGGTGCCCAGTGACAGGACGAGGAACAATGGCCATAAACTAGATCACAAGAAGCTTCACGTCAACATCCTGAAGAACTCTCTGTTGAGGGAGCAGGCACTGGAAGAGCTGCCCAGGCGGTGTGTGGATTCTCCCTGTCTGGGGACATCTCACACCCACCCGTGAGCCGCTGCTGGCTCTGCGCTGCTGGCACAGTGCGTGGCACAGTGCGTGGCACAGTGTGTGGCACAATGCGTGGCACAGTGCGTGGCACAATGCGTGGCACAGTGTGTTGGCTGGGGCTGACAGTGCTGGGCTTTCTGAGCTCAGGGAATCCAGGTCAGCTCACCAGGGCTGGTATGCTGGGGAGTGGAAGGTGGTAATGCATAAAAGACAACCAAACAGAACCCTGGTAGGTTTGGGAAGATGCCCTTTGGGTGACTGCCAGAGAAAGAAAAATGCTGTTGTAGGAGAGAAACACCTCATTTTGCAGAATGGTGCATGGATGATCACACATGGTGGTGGAAGAGGTTGAAGTCACGGTAACAATCACATTGATGTGTGTGTGTAAAACAAAACTAAGTAACCAGTATCTGCTAATTTTCCTCTTCATCTGGAGCTTTTACTGCTTATTGCACTTAATAATGGATTGGGAATAAAGTTCTGGGGGAAAAGGTTTATCAAGACTGCAATATTGCTTCAGTGGAGACTTCACTTTGAATGTCATAGCAACTCTTCTGAAGTTCTGGGAACATATATTTAAGTGTATTGCAGTGTGTTAATTACTGGCTGTTCTTTGTACCTATATTTTCTTTTGTAATTTCTATGATTTTTTTTAATACAACAGTGGTGAAGCTAATCCTTCAGATTAATACTAAAAAAACCCACCAAAAAACAACAACAACAAAAAAAAACACCAAAGAAACCCCAGCAAACAAAAACACAAAAAACCCCAACTTTTTATCTGGTTTATCCCTTTTTTATGTAAAAATGGCCTGAAAGTTGCATTTGCATCATAGTGAATGGGCTCTCAGAAGGGATGGTACAGAGAAGAAAATAATATAGTTCAATACAAGTTTTATACCAGGCTTACAACAGTTGCAGCATGGGTTACTTTGTGTGCTGACACCTGCACTGGTGTCCAAACCCACCCCAAATCCTCTTTACTTGTCCTTCTGTGTTACTGCTACAGTGCTTCTTTATCCGTGTAAGTGAATCAGTGACAAAGCAGAGGCTCACTTATAACTGAGGATATTAACCTATAGACAGATACACACAAGTACCTGGCACTTGCATGAATCTCTGATCATGTTTGTGAACCAAAGGTGTGAGAAATTAAACCTGATGAGACTGATTTGAAAAAATGCTTTTGAAAGGGAATTTATGCAGGTCCAGGTTCTGGCTGGTTTTCTGATCAGTCTTCCTCCTTGAACGCAGGACTAAAAGGCACTTCCCAAATCCAGTCCCCTGCTGTTGAGACATTCTTAAACTTTTCAATCTCCCTCTTAAAACTAATTAGGTTATTTTCCTTATGTTATTCCCACTGTGAGGCTACCCTGTACTCTGAGCTCTGATGGCTGGACACTTTCTAGTTTCCAGGCTGAATGTATTCATAGTAGGTATAATCCCTTTTGTCCTTGTGCCAAACTCTTGCTCTAGTTTAGACACTTCATCTGCCTCTCCAGTGTTTAGCCTTGATGTCTTTGCAAAGCACTATCACACATTGTCTTTTTCTTTAGGTCAAAGAAGGCAGGTTCTGTTACAGTCTTTCCTAACCTTAGGAACCCACCTCTGAAAATATTCCAGCTGATATTAACCTGTTTCTTGGATGGATGACTAACGTTACTCAGGTTGCTGTGTAGCACACCATAGTTTAGAGAAAAGCTTGGAGAAATCTTTCTCTTTTATATCTTCCTGCTGTATTTTAGGGCAGCCTTTACCTTTCTCATCACTCTCTCACCCCTGTTACTAGTCTTGAAATCACTGTCAGGTGGCAGTGAATACACCTGTGGGCTTTATTGCCTGTAAAATGCACTTAAGTCAAACTGAGTCTTCACTGCTGTTGGGCTCCAGCTTTCCTGTGTTGATATTTCTTGGCACTGTGGAGTTCCACAAGTGTTTAGAATGAAAAAAAAAGATGACTACAAGGTGGAAAAACTGCAAAACACCTTTCTGGGTGTTTCTCACAGCAAGAGTGGTAAGTCAGTGACTAGAGGATGGAATTTATCTGAAAAAGTTGAAGATTTTCTAAAGATAGAAATCTTTCTAAAGATTTCTAGCTAATGGCACTTTTATGTGAGAGGCTTGCTCTTGTGATGCTGGTGCTGCTTTTTACTGTTCAGAATTTCACTCCAATTTCAAATCTGATATTTGTGGCTTTTGCTTTTTCTGGTTTGCCCTGTGTCATTTGATGTGTTATAAACAACAATCAATGCTGTGTCTGGATTTGTGCTATTGTTTTTCTGTTTGTCAGCCATCTGAGAAGCAGTCCTGGAGATTGCACTTGATTACAACCTCAGGTGCAAGGTATGAGGTTTCCCTGAAATGGAAAGGCAAATGGA